AGGGCAGATGGTAGGGTGGTACTCCTGAGCACAGTGTCTCATTGTGATTGCTGATAAAGAGAGCCTTTTCTTATCATCCCTCTCTGAAAGCAAAAGTCTTACTGGAGAACAGGAATAGTTCCTTACAATTGAAGCAGAATTTTAAAAATGAGTTTTCAATTCAGCAGTGAGAAAAAACACACCTCGCCTGTTTTCAGATTGAACAATTTGTGGCTCGGGCCCGTGGGTTATTTTGCCCTATCTTTTGCCATTAAATGTTTTTATTAGAAGTTTTATGAAGAGATGCTTTTGAAAGGTTCCTATAACCTCAGTTTTGATGGTTTCCATAAACAGAAATTGCTAGTGTTACCTTGAAAAGGCATTTCTACTTTATAGTGCATTGGCACACTGAACCTGGAAGCTCCCAGCTAGCTTGTGCTCCAAAGAAACGGACAGGCTATTTTAGGCATTAGAGATCCACACAGGGGCATCTCCAAAGTCATCCTTTGAAAACCACCTTCCAGCCCAACCTGCTGAGTTCCTTCAGATGCCTCTCACACCCCTGCAATTCCCATTGTAAAGGATTCCCAGGTAGCACAGAGCAAAATCTCCTTTCAAGAGAGTTCTAGGATATGCAAAACTCCGTGTAAGGTACGCCTGGCCTCAGGCCTTTGTCTTTGATCTCAGAGTCCCACTTGGCAGAATCTTGACCCAGTGCATTTGGGCCTGCCCCGAATATGTTCCTTCTACCAGTCTCACGTAGGGCTCTGTCCCATGGAAGGCGCTCACTGGTCTTCCAGAAGAACCGACGTTCAAGGATCAGGATTGTTAATGTGGCCACATGTAAATGAGCCCCATTCCAGGCCCTTCGTGAGGGCTCTGAAGGAACATGCTTCATTTTTTCTTGCACATGGGATCCCATCAGCCCACCAGTGCAGCAGCCATGGTGTCTTCGGGGTCTTTCCGTTCAAAGTCAGAATCCTGAGGTCTCCTTGTGGGCACTGGAGTCTTGGGCTTTAGGCTAGAGGTTCCAAAAGTGAGATGCTGCAAATACAAGAGCGTACCCAAAGACACGAGCCAACTGTCACTTTGGAGTGACCAGTGACAGTGCCAGGGGTCTCTGGGAAATGTGCATCTATGCTTACCCCCAGGGGAAGGCCTGGGGGATGGGCTGGTGGTGCTGCAGAGGGTCTTCTTCCTCCTCCTTCTCTTCTTCTTCTTTTTTGCTAAGTCTCTATCAATCTAGAAAGTATGTGCCTAACTCTGTCCACTGTAGTCATTTAATAGATACTTATTAGTAGCTTTAGGGATTCTAGCGATATAAATACCAAGAGATTATCATATTGACATATTCCTAGAGTCTAACTCTTCTGGATTATTCGACTAGGCCTCCAACATCTACTTAACCCAGTTTAATGTATTAATATACTAAACACTGTTTGGTTGTCTTTGGCTAATTCAAACTGAGTGTGAGAATGTGCTGAGTCATTGCCCCGAACTTCTCTGCAGACCTAAGGAAGCGTGGGCCACGTGGAGAGGCAGACCACAGACAACTCTTCCAATAGTTGAAGGTTTGGGCAAACTCTGACCAGTCTCCTGATTTTCCTTCTCTCCCGAAGTTTCTGACCATGTTTCTGAGTATGGCAAGAGTACTCAGCACTTTCTGTGCTCTTGTTGTTTTCTAAGAAGCCCTTAAATAAAAAAAATCTTGCCTTCCGGGAGAATCCTTACTCAGACCTCACGACCAGGGAGTCCCATCTGTCGGGGAGATCCGTGAAGAGCCTCACCTGGATGCTATCCAGGTAAGCGGGGGCTCGGGGCAGACAAATTCCAACCCGGGCAGTCTGGGGATAGAGGGACTAGCACTCTGGGTGAAGGTCTTCTAGACCTAACATAAAATGTGTTCCAAAGCATGTGAAACGCTAGTAAAACAACTATGGTCCCAGCACTATAAATTAAAAATAGAAGAGAAAAACACTAGAGCTGCAGCGGCAGGCTGCCAGCCGGAGGCACGAGGGTGTCTGTCTGCTGGGAGGGGCCGGGCGGGGGGGACCGGGCTGCTTGCAGGCTGGTGGCAGCTATGCCGTGGGGGGCGGGGGGCAGCAGCTGCTGTGTGCATTCGCAACAGCTCGATGAAGAAGTCTTAGCTGCCTTTCTGCCTGTGTCCTTGGAATGGGAGAGATCTATTTGACAACAGCCTCTTGCTTCCAGAATATGGCTCGCTGCTAAATTTTGCACATTTGCTTTATTAGAAAATGATCATATCCGAATCTGAGGAGTTCTCTTTTCCCTTGGACCCCATCAACATTTCCCTAAAGTCTGCCATCTTCTGTTTTCGGTGTATGAATGAGCGTGTTGGACCGACATCTCTTACATCACAACTTGACTCATGGTTGCCCACAAAGGGGATGAGGCCAGGCGTGGTAGACTGAAAATGGCCACCCAGAAACATCCATATCCTAACTCCAGGCCTGTGGATAGCAAAAGGGACTTTGCGGATGTGATTAAGATAAGAAATTGGGGATGAGAAGATGATCCCCCTATTATCCAGTTGGGCCCAATACCATCACGAGGACTGCTATAAAAGGGAGAAAGGAAGGCCAAAGACAGAGAAAGGCAGTGGGACTGTGGGCTCAGAGAGAGAGGTGGGAAGATGGTGTGCTGCTGGCTTTAAGATGGAGGGGCCCCGAGCCAAGGTGTGTGGGCAGCCTATGGAAGCCAGATTTGAAAACAATTTCCAGGCTCAAGATGGAGCTGCTCCTGCCCAGGGTGCCACAATAGCCAACAGAAATTTAGGTAACTCTCGTGTCCCCGTAAATGTGCCGCTTGCCCAGAGATGCTGTATATCCACTCAGCCAGTCCCCGAACGCGGAGCCACCTCTGAGCTCTCCACGTACGTCCTTGTTCCTTCTTACCCCAAACAAGCTGATGTGTGGCTCCAGCCAATGAGATATCATCTGCTTTCCTCCTCCTTGTTCTTTATTCATTATCCTATAAAAGCTGCCTGCCTTCTGCCCCATTCTGCAGTTCTCCAAATAGAGACCGTCTGCTTCGCGAAGTGTTAAATAAAATATGTTATATCACCTAAATTGTCATCTTCTGTCATTTTTTAACACCGGAAAAGGCAAAAAAAAAAAAAAAAAAAGATTGCTCCCTACCCCCTGAAGCCTCCAGAAGGAACAAACCCTGTCAACCCATTTTAGCCTTCTGACCTTCAGAACTGAAAGAGGATAAACTTGAGTGGTGTTGAGCCCTGAAGTCTGTAGTGATTCATTGCATCAGGAATAGGAAACTCATACACTACGTTAGAAATGAGGCTACAGGACCGGTGGATCTGGATCTTCTTGGAAAGGAAACCCATGGGTGCAGATATGAATTTTGCACTGTCAGTGAGGTGTGGGTTGTGGGGCAGGGCTGGTGAACACATGTGGGATCCAGCTTATGATATGGCCGTGAGCACCTGAGCAGGTCCCCTCCACCTCCAGCACTGCCCTTCAGCTCTTGTGACAGACCACAGACTTCAGGCCCAGAATAAGTCTCCCAGTCTCTCCTTAGCTGGACATCTTCTAGTCATGTTGCCTCTACTAACATTTATTTAATATGGCTAATTAATACCATTTCCCAAAACAGATAAAAGACAGACATACCTCGCCCCTCATTATGAGGGTAACCTGGCGATTTCTGGGTTGGGGATAAGGTTTTTTGTAGAACAGGGATTCATAGGGTATGTGAAGAACACATGAGAAGTTCTACTTATTTATCTTTTAAAACTAAAAGTAAGAAAGGCACGCCGCTATTTAATATCTTGATTGACAAGAGCTTCTCGAGGTGACTGCCCAACACACGGCTATCACCCACGACAGAGGGCGCACCAGCGGGAAGAGAGGGCTTCTTGGGCAGAGCAATTTAGCTCATGGCACATCTCGACAGGTGGTGATGCACCTGCTCTAGAACGTTTTCTGTGTAGTTGATTCTACAGAGTGAAATCTGTATAAAACTTCATAATAGGATGGACTTTCACACCACACAGTAGTGTTCTAATTAAAAGTCATTAAACTTAAAGAGAAGTTATCTACTTATTTATTTTTGGCCAAAATTATAGGAGTCCAAATTTGTTGATTTTTACTTCATGTCAAAAAACCTGTAATATTATATTAGCTAAGGGATGTTTTTGTGCACACACACACACACACACACACACAATTAATCTGTCCTTTCAAAGTAAAAATGTTATTTCATCCATGAAGGAGAAATGATTTTTTTTTTTTTATAGGAACACATGTTATGGAGAAACCATTTGAAAAGCAGTTAAAAATTTCTCTTTATGTGATTTTCTTGCCAAAAACAATATATAAACTCTCATATTTGTACATTTGTATTCCTTTGAAAGGAATTTTTAAATTCAGTTAAAATCTCCCAAATGAAGATTCAGTACATCTTGGACCCATTTGCTAAAAAATAAAAATGCAATACCTTCTGGTTGATTTGCAAGGAGAACTGATTGACATCAGGAAAAGATGGAGAGTTTACAGCTGAATTTCATCAAAAATCTCTGTGTAAGTGTGGACAGGATTGAAAAATGAGTGTAATGATTTAAAGACCCTGTCACCGATTCTTTCATTTGGATCATTTAGCCATTAAATCAAGTGTCAGAACAGACTGAACTTCAATACAGAACTTAAAAGTATTCTATTGCAAAGTGTTAACCAAAAATTTCCTAAACAGTGAAGCATCTTCCATCACAAATGCTCTTATCAACAATATTAAATAACAGTCTAATGTATCCATGAACCATTAAAAAACTAAATTAACTTAAAATATTTTCATTGTTTTCTCTCCTTAATTCTAATTTGTATTTATAAAGTACATAAAATATGAACATATATATTTTATGAATAAGCAAATATACATACCAAGGCACGAGGTTAAATTTTTTACCCCGAAGTACACACACAGTTAAAACCAGTTTATTGCCCTCTGCCTTAGAGCTACGTCTCTCTGCCCAAAGCACCCTTTGCTGGCTCCCAAGTAGCAGAGAGAAATAAAGAAATCCACTGCTGGAGCGCCTAGGTGGCTCGGTTGGTTGGGCGACTGCCTTCAGCCCAGGTCATGATCCCGGACTCCCGAGATCGAGTCCCACATTGGGCTCCCTGCTCAGCGGGGGTCTGCTTCTCCCTCTGACCCTCTCCCCTCTCGTGCTCTCTCTCACTCTCTCAAATAAATAAAATCTTTAAAAAAAAAAAAAGAACATTTTTTCATGTGTCTCTTAGCCATTTGTATGTCTTCTTCTGAGAAGCGTTTGTTCATGTCTTCTGCCCATTTTTTTACTTGATTATTTGTTTTTTTGGGTGTTGAGTTTGAGAAGTTCTTTGTAGATCTTGGATACCAGCCCTTTATCTGTAGTGTCCTTTGCAAATATCTTCTCCCTTTCTGTGGGTTGCCTCTTTGTTTTGTTGACTGTTTCCTTTGCTGTGCAGAAGCTTTTTATCTTGATGACGTCCCAAAAGTTCATTTTTCCTTTTGTTTCCCTAGCTTTTGGCGACGTATCTTGAAAGAAGTTGCTGTGGCTGGTGTCAAAAAGGTTACTGCCTATGTTAGACATACAAATGGCTAACGGACACATGAAAAACTGTTCATCATCATTAGCCATCAGGGAAATTCAAATCAAAACCACACTGAGATACCACCTTACACCAGTTAGAATGGCAAAA